ACAAATTTCTCAGAGTCTGAATGAAGTTTCACATGTGACTTTTTTAGCCTATATTCTTATTTAAGTATAAGCAAAAAAATGCAAAAATGCAAGTAGAAATTATTTGCCTCCACCCCTCTAAACTTAAGAGATTGTCTTTTCTGTGGAATGGGCCAGCCGATTTTGCCTAAATTGTTTCTGTTGGTCCCCACCCAAGTGCTGCCCAGAAAATTTAAATTCAGTTTTCCTCTGCCCGCAGGTAACATGTACGGCCCCGTGAAAATTTTTATATCGGGAACAACGGAGTCTAGGAAGCTGAAATTTTAAGGTTGTGTCCTTCTGCCCACGAACGACCCTGCAATTCCAGATTCGGCGTTCCCGCACTCTTGGGTATTACTTGCAGCCCCGTGAAAATTTCTTGCGAGTAAATTATCTCGGGAACCACAAAGTCTACAGAGTTGAAATTTTAAGGTAGTGACATCGGATATGCTCATTTGCTGAGGAAATATATTGATATATAGTCATCGAATATGCTCATTTACTGAGGAAATATATTGATATATACGTAAGATAACTATCGTCACATATATTCTTAGCTGTGTGCTTAAGGAACTTTTTTTTTCAGTTCAACGGAAGTGCGATGAAAATTCCTGGATTTTTAATAATTGACACTCCCGGCCACGAAAGTTTCTCGTTAGTTCTTGTGCAACATTTTTGTTTGATAAGAAACTTTGCAGTTTTCTGCAGCTGCCTCCACTCTTTGTTATCATATACATAGTCTTTTAGAGGCTGTCTTTTGGGTCCTGACGGTGTTTGATCGCTTTGCCAAGAGGTAGTTCAGTTGTGTTACAGTGTGCGTGGAATTTATTTAGGTACTTAAGCGAGACGCTGCATTCCAAATCTTCCCAGAATATATTAAATCCAGCAAAGAGAAGTGAATAGTCCTGAAAAAAATTTCAGCATGCTTTGCCTGTACCTGGTATTTCGAGAAGCTCAAATCCTCGTTCAGACTTTAGAAAAATTTCTCTCTGCGTTTTCTATTACCGTTTTTTTTCAAGAGCTTTCACTAAGTCTAAAAAAACTTTAGAAGTCGATCGTAATTTGCCAGTGGCCAGAATTTATAAATTAGATCTGCGCACGTTTCACAGGGATGGACACTATTCGTTTTTCAAAGCCAAAAAAAAAGTTTTTTAGCAAAATTAATAATATTCTGGTATAAAATCCAGCATCTTATTTTGTATATCTTGAAGCAGACAGTGATACTGGTGCAGTTTTTGTGTGGTCATTAACAACTTCCTTTTCAAAGTCAAGGGATTTTCATTTTCCCTTCAGAAATATAGTGCCGTCGGGCACCTTTTGTGAGGGATGCTAGTTTTAAGTTTCTGACTTGAAACTGCTAGGTGTGATGTGTCCAAAAGCTGCATTCCTTTCGTGTTATCTCATCATTCGTTCCATCCATTCCCATGTAACTCCATGCTTTCCTGCTGCCTTTCCAGCATTCAGGATTGTTGCACTTATGCGCACGCATGTGTTACTGATTGTTTTGCAGAAACTTGCGGTCACGTGGTTCCGCATTATGTGATTATGCAATCCTGGTCGTTGATCTGATGCACGGGCTTGAACAACAAACACTTGAATCGTTGAAATTGTTGCGAAAAAAAGGGACTCCGTTTGTAGTCGCATTAAACAAAGTAATTCATTTTGTGATCTCCACACATTTTTAATCGAATTTTAAATGGATCTGGACCAGTACTGTTCCGCTGTTTCAGGTTGATCGCTTATACGAATATCAGTCGAATCCACGGAAAGATATTTTCCAGCACCTAAAAACACAGCCAATCAACACACAGCTTCATTTCAAAGAGTTAAAAGATAAAATTGTGGTGCAGTTTGCTGAACAAGTAAGAACTTCATTGAATGTTTGTGTGGCAGCCCCACCATATTCCATTTTTTGTGAGAGGCCAAGGCATTCCGATGTAGCCCAAGTGATAACACTCTGCTAATGGCAGCCACTCCTTTTGGGCAAGGCTTTCGATGCCTTTTTTTTCGGATGTCGACCAAAAGCAAACTGGTGATGATTCTGGCTGCTGGCCCATCCATTTTCAGTCAAAACTGAAACCCGTCAACAAAACTGAATGAACTGTTTTTTACACCAAATAAGATTTATTCAAGCATTGAGGGTAGCGATATTTGTCACCAAAAATATGCCGATCTACCAATAGGAGGTTGAATCAGAGCCTTTTTTTGTTAAAACCTTTTTGAGCCTAAATTAGAACCTTTTTTGAGCCTTTTTTGGGCCTAGGTAAAAGAAATTGAATTTTTCTTTCACATTGTGCAACGCAGTGAACTATCCATATTTTCATTTTAATTGTTTTGCAGTTAGCACCCTCG